AATGTTTCAAACAACTTAAATACACTAAACCCAAATATTTCAAACAACTTAAATACACTAAACCCAAATATTTTAAACAACTTAAATACACTAAACCCAAATGTTTTAAACAACTTAAATACACTAAACCTAACAAGTTATTTAGAGCTTCGTAGCAGACAGAGTAATAATTGATACTTTATGTACAGGATTTGGGTTTAGTGAATCTACTAAAATGACGATTTTCTCCTGTATTTTTAGGTTTTAACAATGAAAAGATTAGCGTGTTTGTGTCTTCTGGTTTTCCTATTCATGCTGGTTCCATCTTGCGAGAATGGTAAGTAAACGACCAGTGTTATGTGTCGTAAACTAGGTATTCTTTTATACAAGAAATAGTAGACACCATGATACCCTCTTCTTAATGTTACTGTCCATATTATTTTCAATCTTCCCTTTCGTTAAGGGAACGAATTGGTAGAACGAGCATGGTTTAATAATCAAATATCCCGTGGATTAAAAACCAAGAGAACATTTCGGACTATGATCCCACCAATAGTCAGATAAGGTAAGACTAGGTAAGATTTAACAACAGGACAGAACTGAGTACCTTAATTCCTACATTAAAAATAGAATCATTTAATATTTTTATCATTTAAAAACAGGCTATGAAAATAATGTTTCGTCGTTCATTGAAGCATGCAGACAAACATGTAAATTTTGTAAACATACGGATAAACACGTGACTTTTGAAACGTACGTACAAAGACGTGACTTTTGAAACAAGCAAACAAACGCGAATTTTCAAACATACGGACAAACACGTACATTTTGAAACATACGGACAAACACGTGACTTTTGAAACAAGCAAACAAACGCGAATTTTCAAACATACGGACAAACATGTAAATTTTGAAACATACGGACAAACACGTGACTTTTGAAACAAGCAAACAAACGTGAAATTTCAAACATACAGATCAACGTATATGTGTACTGTTATATTTGAAACGTACAGATCAACGTATACGTGTACTGTTATATTTGAAACGTACAGATCGACGTATATGTGTACTGTTATAGTCTGTCTTTACTTTAATAGTATAAAATGTCTTAAATCGTCAACCAAGTTCTAAACAAAGACGACTGAATTTATCATTTTCTTTCTTCGCTTTATTTATTAGTAGAAAAAGGTCCTTTGGTAGGTCAGTGATAAGTCCACGGACTTACAAGGATAAAATCCGGGGCTCAGTTCCTTACGATGGACAGATTGTGTAGCTTTGCCCTAAAAGCCAAACAACAACGTTAGTAGACAATATCCTAAGCCGTAAGATAATTATAAAACAGAGTTTGTTTGAAGTTAAGCACAAAGCTACACAAAGCTCTGCCCACCACGGGTATCGAAACCCGGTTTCTAGCGTTGTAAGTCCGCTGACATACCGCTGTGCCACTGAGGGGGGGGGGCGTAAAACAGAGATGATTGGATATACAGTTTCGTCACTGGTAGGAGTAAAAGTTACACGAACTTCAGTTAATGTAAAGTTTTAAGACGTAAGTGTATCGATGGGAAGGTTGAGCTTCAATGTCTCCTAATTCTATATAATAACTTTTCAAAAGTTCAGTGAAGGATCAGTTGAAAGCTTACATTTGTCATTTAATACCAGTTCTCAAGACAAGAAAGATTTTAACTTTCATATTAACCAGTAGAGGGCGACACCGGGGTAAAAAGTATGTGTCTGATTGACCATAGTAGAATTCAGATGCTCTTCAGCATATCGGTGGTCAGATAAACAATCAGTGTACATTTAAGTGTTGTGTGTTAAAGAAACTATGGACTAAAGCTGGCTTCTCGTCTTTGGGAATGCTATGAGAATTGTAAGTGAATATGTCTTTCTATTTTGTTTATAGCGTCTCTGAACCGACCTGAGAACTACCAAGGAAACACCACTGTAGAAGATTTAAGTAAAGTGGAGGACACAGAAAATGTTCCTGAAAATGAAGATCCCAAAGATACTACCGACGTTGAGAAACCTAAGGGATCCAAACAGGAAGCTCAAGAGGTTCTTGAAACAACTGATGAAAATAGCAAACCTGTAGAAGAAACAGCTCCCGAGGAGAAGAAAGATGTGATAAATGCAACAGCCATTGTTTCTGTTGCAGAAAAGAAAACTACAGAAACGAGACCTTCTACTGAGGAAACTGCAGAGGTTGCCAACAAGGAAGTCGGTGGAGAGATTTCATCCCAGGAAGTTAACAACGAGGAACAACAAACTGATAAAGAGCCAAAAGAAAAACAAACAGTTGAGGAACAACAAACTGATAAAGAGCCAGAAGAAAAACAAACAGTTGAGGAACAACCACCACAAGAAGAACCAGTAGAACGTCCAGTAGAAGAACAAACAGAGGAAGAAACGTCAGTGGCAAAACAGGCAGAAGAAAACAATCCAAAAGAACAAGAAACCCAACTAGCGCAAGAACAGAAATCTCCGGAAGAAGATTCAGTAGTAAAAGAGCAACCACTAGTAACAAAACAACCAGTAAACGAAAAGTTACCAGAAAATATCTCACTAGTAGCACAAAAACGAAGGTTAGAGGATGAAGAAGAATCAGTAGAACATGGATCTCTAGAAGAAGACCACACGTTAGAAGAAGTAAAACAGTCAGTAGAAGAACAACAAGAAGTAGAACAAAAACCAGAAGAAGAAGAACAGGTAGAACAAAACCCAGAAGAGGAACAACAAGATATACAACAAAATAAAGATGAAGGTCTACAAGAAGTAGTACAAAATCCAGAGGAAAACGAACAACAAAAACCAGAAGAACAAAAACTACAAGAAGAAAAACAGCCAGAAGTTGAAATAACCCCAGAAGTCGTAGTAAAACTGGAAGAAGAAAAACAGACAGAAATCGAAGTAAACCCAGAAGTCGTAGTAAAACCGGAAGAAGAAAAACAGACAGAAATCAAAGTAAACCCAGAAGTTGTAGTAAAACCGGAAGAAGAAAAACAGACAGAAATCGAAGTAAACCCAGAAGTTGTAGTGAAACCGGAAGAAGAAAAACAGACAGAAATCGAAGTAAATCCAGAAGTTGTAGTAAAACCGGAAGAAGAAAAACAGACAGAAATCGAAGTAAATCCAGAAGTCGTAGTAAAACCGGAAGAAGAAAAACCTGTAGTAGAAGAAAATCCAGGAGAAGAAGAAGAAGAAGAAGAGACACCAGTGGAAAAACAGCAAGAATAATAATAAAACAATTAAATATGATAAAAGTGACTACAACACAGCTCTTAACAAAACGTAATATAACATGATTCCGGTGCAAAGCTGCCCCGAGAAACACTACAAGATCTACTTTCTGTGTATTTTTTTCCCCCAGGTTTATAATTGTGATTTAGAATTGTGTTTGCTGGCTCTGAACAATATTGCAAGTGCATGTCATTAGTGCAGTGAGTCTCCGCTGGCGGTGTACAGTTATACACTGTTGGACAATACTATATTTTACACCTCGTTCCGTGTTATCGTTTCACGTTTTTTGCTTTGCTTATTTTGTTTGAAAATTAAATAATTCAGTTTATTTCCCGGTGTTTCTGAACTTAACCATAGATTGAAACTTATCTTAACTTTGAGCCATTTTACATGAATATCACGAAACCATTATAATGAGCAAGAAATATCCAAACGAACTTTTTTTATAAATTTGTTTTTTCATTATTTTTTTTTATGTAGATGTGAAGTTCAGTGCCCAAAGTGCAATAACCGGGGTCTTAAAATGTGGTGGGTGTCTTCATTGAATAATAAAAAATAAAAAAAAATGTTTTTGCTTCTTCTTACTGTGTGTGTGTAGTTGTGGTTTTTGATCAGATTAAAAACATGCCCTGGTGGTTAGACGGTGCTCGACTCGTAATCTGAGGGTCGCGGGTTCGAATCCCCGTCACACTAAACATGCTCGCCCTTTCAGCCGTGGGGGCGTTATAATGTGATGGTCAATCCCACTATTCGTTGGTAAAAGAGTAGCCCAAGAGTTGGCGGTGGGTGGTGATGACTAGCTGCCTTCTCTCTAGTCTTTCATTGCTAAATTATGGACGGCTAGCGCAGATAGCCCTCGTGTAGCTTTACGCGAAATTCAAAAACAAACAAACAAGTCCGATTCTCTAGGTGGGCACAGTACAGACAACTCATTGAGCAGCGTTTCGCTTAACAACAAACAAACAGATATTGAGCGAATACCCGTTGATAAATTACACGTAAAATTATATTCCAAGAAAAACCTAACTAAAAATCGTTAATTGGTTCCACTAGGCGGCGATTTCAACACATGTCAGTCGTGCAGAGAAATTGTTT